CTAGATTTTTTTCTCCTACAGTTGAATACAACTGGGGAAATAGCTGACATTTCAGTCAGTGCATTCCACAGTGCCCTCTAGTGGCAGGAAAGTGTATCTGCAGAAGATTTTTTTTTTAAGGATTTGGGAAGCATAGATAGATAACTGCAATCAAGTTTGTGGCAGGATAGGAAGCGATAGAAATGTCTGTAAGTCACGGTTTCTGAACATGGAACGTAAAAGAGGAACTGAACTAGAACCAGTTTAAATAAACGAAATAGTAAAATTGTTCTCTTTATTTCTTTCTTTCTTTCTTTCTTAGGGCTGGTGAGCATTTTCTCTGTTATGTGCTGTGCTCTGATTGCTCACAATTCTTTGAGCCATCCATTGGGCTACTAGATCAAATTTTCAGTAATAAGAGTTATTTGGCCATTATTGTGCTGGAAATAAAAGACAGCTGTGGAAATGTAAACTACAAACATAATGTTCGCCCCCTGCTTTTCTTTCAAGGAACCAATGATTAGGCAAGCTGCATGTTGTTCCACCTCCCTGCCATCACCACACCCCACTGTTGGAGGACAGAGTCCTGTATGGCACATGGCCAGTGTTGAAGGAGGGTTCTGCTGCCAGTCAAATTAGCTTCTGTATGGGGAGTGGACACTGTCCTGTTTTCTCCCCTTAGGTTGGCCATGCACTGTACACAAGGTTGCCCCAACTAAACTAAACTAAACTAAACTAAACTAAACTAAACTAAACAACAAAAACACAAGGCAAGCCAACAACGACTACACAAGGCAAGTTAAGCACACACAGAGAGGAGGCAGAGTTTGTCAAGAAAACACAGGGAGCGTCATTGCTGAGCAAGGATTGAACCCCAGTCTCTGCAGTTCAAAACATACACTCTAACCCAGGGGTCAGCAACCTTTTTAGCCATGGGCCAGTCCACCATCCCTCAGATCATGTGGTGGGCCAGACTATATTTTGAAGAAAAAAACCTGAACGAATTCCTATGCCCCACATATATCCCAGAGATGCGTTTTAAATCAAAGCACACATTCTACTCATGTAAAAACACCAGGCAGGCCCCACAAATAACCCAGAGATGCATTTTAAATAAAAGGACACATTCTACTCATCTGAAAACACACTGATTTCCGGACCGTCCACTGGCCGGATTGAGAAGGTGATTGGGCCGCATCTGGCCCCCGGGCCTTAGGTTGCCTACCCCTGCTCTAGCCACTGCATCCCACTGGGCTTTTGAGCAAATTCAAATGGACTGTGATGGTCGGCAAAAGCAACGCCCTACAAAAGATACCTGCCAGACTTTACATTTGTGCAACTCTTACCTTGGCAGATACATCTACTAATCTATCTTCCTTCCTTCCTTCCTTAAGAACCAGAGTTCACTGGTAGACCACATGTTATACATGCAGAAAGTCCTAGGTTGAATTCCAGTATCTCTAGGTAGGACCAGGAAAGAGTCCTGACTGAAACCCTGGAGATCTGCTGTCAGAGGACGTAGAGAATGCCAAGCTAGATAGACCAATGGTCTGGCTCAGCATAAGGCAGCTTTGTTTTATAGCTGAAATCTACGTCACATCATGGGCAGCCTTCAAGGGACCACATGCTAGTTGTGGGCAGGGCCAGAGGCAAAACTGGGCAAAGCAACAGATATGACTCTCACCTCTGTACCTGAGGACTAAGCAGCCAATGTAACACTACTTTTCAAAAGGGGATTCAGGGGGGATCTTGGGGAATTTCAGTTAGCTTATCACTTTTTCCTGGAAAACTGGTGGAAAGCATTGTTAAAGAAAGAATTACAATGCATATAGAAGAAGCCTTGCTGAAACAAAACCAGCGCGGCTTCTGTAGGGGTAAACCCTGTCTCACTAAACTTTTAGAGTTCTTTGAGAGTGTTGATAAATATATAGATAGAAGTGATCCAGTTAAGGGAACACATTTGACCTGACAGGCCAGATCCTTATCTGTCCACACCCCCTTGGGTGGGTGGGTAGAATAACTCACCTGTCAATTATCTGATACCATCACAATGTCACATGAGTGGCAGGTGGGCTCCTTGTGCAGTGCTTCCCAACCGCCCAACAGCCAGCTTGCCAGTGCTGAGCATAGGACTGGCAAATTTGCTTTCTACAGGATCAGCTGCATGATCAAATTCCCCACAGGAATCTCAGCTTCACAGGTGATCCAGTAACATCTTTACCTGCCACATATGGTGTCTGTGTGGGGCACATAGGAGTGGTATGGTGGGGAAATCAGCTTGTGGGCACATTTCCCCCCACAGACCAGCAGTTCCCCACCCCTGACTTAAAAGCTTTTAATGAAACACCTCACCAAAGACTCTTCAGTAAGATTGGCTGTCATGGCGTAAGAGGAGAGGTCCCTTTTTGATCAGTAGCTGATTAAGAATCAGGAACCAGAGAGTAGGAATAAATGGACTGTTCTCGCCAAAAGAGATACATAGAATGCCAAGTCGGTATGGAGACCTGTGTCTTTTAAATTGTTTATATGTGATCTAGGGTTGGGTGAACATTATGCTGTGAACCACCCTAGATCTACAGGTATAGGGTGGTATACACATTTAATAAATAATAATAATAATACTGTAGACTTTTTAGTTTAGAGAAAAGGCTAGTAAGCTAGGAGTATTATGAGTGTCTTGGCTGTTTTAAACTCACTGCTTTTAAGGTTGGAAAAGGCAGAAGAGCAGGAAGAACAATCACTAAAACATCATCTGAGAGAGAGAGAGAGAGAGAGAGAGAGAGAGAGAGGTAAGATTAACAGAGAAAACCTGAGGCTTCTTCCCACATTTTCCCCCTTCCTGTAAATGTGTAGACAGTGTCAGTTTGAATTTTTTAAAAAATGGATGATAGGGGAAGACTGCCACTGACATTACTACCTGTCACACTTGTGTAAAGCTGTCAAACAGCAGGTGGGCAGCTAAGACAGCCTTGGAAAAGATGTCTTTATTATCTCCCCCTCCTTCCCTCCCTCCCTCCTCCCTCAGTTCAGCAGCAAGCTGCATTTTCAGTGATGGGTTAAGCAGGCTGTTGTAGCTACAGCTGAATGTGCAGTCTGCAAGGAAAATGTATTTGACAGTCTCAAGTGTTTTATATCTCCTGACTTAGGTGTGATCATGCTCTGATCTTTCCTGGTTCCTTTGCCTGTCTGTTTGAGACTCAGCAACTGATCTTTCACATTACCACGGCTGGGGCACTGCTTCCCACCACCCAGGGACCCAGAACTTTTAAACCGTGTTGCTGTCTGGTTTTGAAACCCCCACTCTGTTAAAAGTTCAAGCCAGCTGCCAGTCCAAGCCTCTCTATCTTTCTGTGTCTCTCTGCCATTGTAAAAGCTGGTTATCTGGCACTAACTAGGGTGAAAAGTAAGATACACCACACACAGCAAACATGATTGCTGCAGGTACACCAGCCTTTCCCCGAATAGAGAATGAATGAAACACACATGTTTTTAAGCACTCAGCTGCATAGGTTGGGAAACTTCCATTAAACCAGGGTATCCTGTGTTAATGCAACAATCACGTTTGCCACATGCATAGTAGAGCTGATGGAGCTGTGGTCTAAACCACTGAGCCTCTTGGGCTTGCTGCTCAGAAGGTCAGCGGTTCAAATCCCCACGACGGGGTGAGCTCCCATTGCTGTGTCCCAGCTCCTGCCAACCTAGCAGTTCAAAAGCACACCAGTGCAAATAGATAAATAGGTACCGCTGCGGCAGGAAGGTAAACGGTGTTTCCATGCGCTCTGGCTTCCGTCACGGTGTCCTGCTGCACCAGAAGTGGTTTAGTCATGCTGGCCACATGACCCGGAAAGCTGTCTGTGGACAAACGCCGGCTCTTTCAGCCTGAAGTGAGATGAGCACCGCACCCCATAGTCAAGTTTGATTGGACTTAACTGTCCAGGGGTCCTTTACCGTTTACCCGGCCAACACATTGCCACCAGTTCAGGTTTTCCAGCCCTGGTGGTAGAAACTATTTGCCTCAGCGGATGGAGCTGTTGCCACAATGCCACAACCAGATGACTCTGTATTTACATTTTTGCTGATTTGTGGGGAAGGGAGGAGTGTGCATTTCTGCTTCTGGGTTAGCTGGAAAAATAGTCAATCCAATGCAAAGTGGTTTCCTGTGTGCCCATTTATTGCCAGATTGTAGTCAATGTCCTGCTTTCAAATACATGTGTTATCTTCCAATTTTATCATTCTTTTCTCCATTCACTGAGATGAGTGGGAAGGGGAACCTAAAAACAGCTTCCAGTCTTGGCTGCAAACCTAGGGTGGAAAAAGGGGGTTGTGGAAAGCCAACAGCAGAACACTACTAAATCTTACCAGTGCAGACATGCACACTGAGTTGTGGGTGGCCATTGGATAATAATAATAATAATAATAATAATAATAATAATAATAATAATAATTTATTTATATCCCGCCCTCCCCAGCCGAAGCCGGGCTCAGGGCGGCTAACAACAATAAAATGATACAACATTCTAAAATCATTTCATTATAAAATTAATTCAAATCAAATTGATGGCAACCATTGGGCTAGAGTTCTGTGAAGATTGCCAAAGGAGGGAGTCAGGCTGTGCCCTGGCCAAAGGCCTGGTGGAACAGCTCTGTCTTGCAGGCCCTGCGGAAAGATGTCAAGTCCCACAGGGCCCTAGTCTCTTGTGGCAGAGCGTTCCACCAGATCGGAGCCACAGCCGAGAAAGCCCTGGCTCTGGTTGAGGCCAGCCTAACCTCTCTGTGGCCTGGGACTTCCAAGATGTTTTTGTTTGAAGATCGTAAGTTCCTCTGTGGGACATACCAGGAGAGGCGGTCCCGTAGGTACGAGGGCCCTAGGCCGTATAGGGCTTTAAATACAACTATGCACAAGCAGCTCAGTGGTAACACATAGGAACATGGCAGCCATTGGTCTATCTAGCACAGTATTGTCTACACTGACTGGCAGCAGCTCTCCAGGGTTTCAGGCAGGGGACATTCCCATCCCTGCCTGGAGATGCTGGGGGTTGAACCCAGGACCTTCTGCTTGCAAAGCAGATGCTCTAATGCTGAGCTATGGCCTTTCACACGCTTGCCCCTGGGAGACTCGCCTGGCACCTTCATTACATGCCTTTAGGCACCAGGCTTACATTGCCCTTCTCCCAGGCCTCTGGCTCATGAAACAATCTACGCCCTTTTAAACTGGGGGAGTGGTAGTTATTGTTTTGCTTGTTATTACATTATGTATTTTTGTTTTTATACTGTAAACTGCCCTGTGATCCTCGGATGCTAAGCACCCAATATATAACTTTAATAAATAATAATAATATGAAGCACCTGCTAATGTGGGTCATGTTATTTTTGTGACATCATAAAAGAAGGAGGATAGAAAGACAGAACAGAGCTGCAAGAGAAGCCACACGGAGGCCTTGCCACGTTGAACCTGCTTTTTCACCCTTGCATTTGCAAGCTGCTTCCATGCCCCAGTGAATTGGCTTTATGCACCTAATGTCTTTGGATTAATGACTAACACCACTGTGTGCCCCCTGGCTACAGCAACTAAGCAAAGAAAGCAGAGGCAGTGGGGGGGAGCAAGAGGGAAAGGGAAAGCAAGCGGGGAAGACACAGGAATGTCCCTGAACTGATGTCATCTGCCTGCTGAGGAGGCTTCTCTTGGCAGCCGCAGAAATGAGCTCTTTGTTCTGGCTAAATTGGCAGCAACGCCCAAAGAAAACAAACCCACCAGCGGGAAACCTGTAACCTGCAGAGCTGCTGAAGTGTTTACAACGCCAGGAACAGCATTGAATGCAAACGGATCATAGCTTGACTGAAAGACAACTTGTTGGGGTCTTTTCTGAAGCTTGGCGCTGGAGAAGCTTGAGGCTGGCTTCTCACAAAGAGACAATTTAGAGGGTTTTTTGGCACGTGGGAGGATTCCCGCCTGTCACAAAACCACTGTATAAACTCCTTCAAGCTAAGCAAACAAAAACCTGTGTTCTGCCCCCACTATATTTTATCCCTTCAGCCTTAACGTTTTATCCTCAATATCTTCATTTCAATGTTCCCTTCCAAATCTGCCCCACAGGACAGTATAACATGCAATGGATGGTGGTGCTTTCCTAGCCTGCAGGTAGACCTTTCTAGAAGGAGGAGGAGGAGGAGGAGGAGGAGGAGGAGGAGGAGGAGGAGGAGGCTGCACTGGCTTTAGAAACACACTGCACTTTTTATTTAAAAAATGAATATATTCTAGAAGTGTCAGGAGAGTGGGAAGAGGCAACATTGGGGAAAGCAGCCATAGTCTTACAGCTCTTGGCAAATTTTCTCCAGTCGGTGTGGTATAGTGGAGAGCAGTGGACTCATAATCTGGTGAACCGGGTTCACTTCCCTGCTCCTCCACATGCAGCTGCTAGGTGACCTTGGGCCAGTCACACTTCTCTGAAGTCTCTCAGCCTCACTCACCTCACAGAGTGTTTGTTGTGGGGGAGGAAGGGAAAGGAGAATGTTAGCCACTTTGAGACTCCTTAGGGTAGTGATAAAGCGGGATATCAAGTCCAAACTCTTCTTCTTCTTCTGTACTTTTTCCAAGAGGCACCATGTTCTAGATCAGCCATACAACTGTATTTTAAAGCACTGGAGTCTTAAAGCAAGGATGGGGAACCTCAAGACCAGGATCCAGTTATGGCCCTCCCATGGCCTCTCTCCAGCCCTTGAGACCCTCCCCAGCCCATTCCTCCACACTACCCCTCCCTGGCAACAGCCCTTCCTGGACCCACTCCATGTATTGTTGTGAGTTAACTGCTGCTGAGAACGCTGACTGTGCTTCTCTTGTATATGGTTTAGCTTTGCGTGGAAATGTTTACGATTGTCTATATATTTATCTCCTTCAGCTGAGGGCTTCACTTCATGCACCTGACAAAGTTCATGAAAGCTCCTGTCGTAGACAGTGGCGTAGCATGTAGGGGACCACAGGAGTGGTTGCCCCGGGCACAAAATTGTTAAGGGCACAAAATTCCAACACCGGGTGCTGCCTCAATACAGCTATGCGCTTCTGTCGGCTTTTCCATGCGAACCAGGAAGCAACCTCTCCAGACAACAGAAGGACTCTTCTTTTCTTATCTCTGCAGCTGCAATCTACACGGTGACACGGATACCAGCAGGCCGTTGAATGCACATGTGTACTCCATCTGTTTCCATCCCTCCCACCCTCCGTGCGTCCCTGGGCACTAGCAACCCACGCTACACCATTGGTTGGAGATTCCACTTGGAGGTGCCACAAGTTCCATGGCTATTTTTCCTGTCGCAAGCTATTGCAGCTGTCAGCCCCTGGACATAGTAGCCCCAATGTGGATCCGGTGTACCCTGCCTGCTCAGCCCACAGTTTGGCGCACATGTGTCTTTTGTGTGTGTGGACTGAATCAACAATTTGCAATTTATAGGACATAAGAAGAGAAATTGCCTTCAATTGCAGAATCAATAAAAGGGCTGTTCATTGGATTGCTAATCAATGCTCTCAAAGGGCACTTGGAATCCCTGCTAATTTCCTTAAGCACTTGTAAATGCACTCCGAGTGCTGTAAATTATCATCTTCGTAGAAGGAAAATTGGCACAAGCAATACATTGACTATCTTAAAAGTGGTTTTCTATGAAGAAATAATCTGTACGCTTCTTGGGATGTTGTAGAATTAGGCACCAGGACCGAAAGGTCTGCATGTGTACTTCATAAATGATGTTTTATTTGTCCTTCCAACGTAAAGTCAGCTCCTTTCTGACTGCGAAAACAAATCTTATCTGAATATAAAACAATAAGCTTCCTTAATATGAGGAGGCAATCTGAGTAACTAAATGAAAGGGGATTTGCAGACCAAGTTTATGCTTAAAAATACAATTCTATCCTTTGCTCTTTCCTCCGGCTGCGATCTCCTGGGTGATGCAGATGCCATTATGCAGTTGAATGTCCATGCATACTTCATCGTTTCCCTCCTTCCTACCCACCCCATTATGCACAGCTCTGGGCGCTGGCAGCCCCTGCTATGCCACTGACATAAAGCAAACTTTTTTTAATTTTCTGGTCCATGGTCTCTCCTGGCTTCAGAGGCACCGATACAGCTCCTTGCCAAGGGCACAAGGGATTCTAGGTATGCCTCTGCATGTTGCAAAAGAGAACACGCACTCTTTCAAAGAAGGGTTGGCCATGATTCCTGCCCTTCTTATCAAATGACCTTTCTTCCAAAGAACCTCAGGTTCCCCAGAACACAGTTTGAAGCCCACTGCTTTACAGCATTAGGAGGAGGAAAGGAAAGCTTTCCCCTTCACCACCCCTCCTAACTCACAATCTAAAACTTTTGAAGTACAGGCTGAAACCAGAAGAAGGGAGGGATGGGAAAGGCAAAGCAGAGAAAGGGTGGGTGGGTGTGAAGAAGCAGGTGTTCCCGTGCACACTTGAGAGTCCCATGGACTGCAAGAAGATCAAACCTCTCCATTCTTAAGAAAATCTGCCCTGAGTGCTCACTAGGACAGATCCTGAAGCTGAGGCTCCAATACTGTGGCCACCTCATGAGAAGAGAAGACTCCCTGGAAAAGACCCTGATGCTGGGAAAGATTGAGGGCACAAGGAGAAGGGGATGGCAGAGGATGACATGCTTAGACAGTGTTCTCGAAGCTACCAGCATGAGTTTGACCAAACTGCGGGAGGCAGTGGAAGACAGGAGTGCCTGGCGTGCTCTGGTCCATGGGGTCACGAAGAGTCGGACACGACTAAATGACTAAACAACAACAACCCTCCACTGAACAGCCAGTCCAGAGTGTGGACCAAAGTGTGGATGAAAGAGCAGAACTGTATCTGCAAAGCCACAGTGCAGGCAACTGAGTTTAGCAATAATTCGGAGGGAAGCACCCAAGAGAGAGCCTCAGAGCTGTGGGTTGGGGCTGCTCTTATTGCTCTGAACGTAAAACCAAGGCCTTGTTGCTTGAGCATTTGTAGCAAATCAGGGTCCAGTTCAGAAAGATGGTATTTGAATTTTTAGTACCAGCCGCTCAGCTGCTAGTAAATGGACAAAATTCCGAGCAGCACCCACAGCCAAAACAGTACTAAAAGGTAAAGGTAAAGGTACCCCTGCCCGTACGGGCCAGTCGTGTCCGACTCTAGGGTTGTGCGCCCATCTCACTTAAGAGGCCGGGGGCCAGCGCTGTCCGAAGACACTTCCGGGTCACGTGGCCAGCGTGACAAGCCGCATCTGGCGAGCCAGCACAGCACACGGAAACGCCGTTTACCTTCCCGCTAGTAAGCGGTCCCTATTTATCTACTTGCACCCGGGGGTGCTTTCAAACTGCTAGGTTGGCAGGCGCTGGGACTGAACGACGGGAGCGCACCCCGCTGCGGCGATTCGAACCGCCGACCTGACGATCGGCAAGTCCTAGGTGCTGAGGTTTTACCCACAGCGCCACCCGTGTCCCAAAAACAATACTAAAATATTTAGTATTTCTTGCAAACCTTTAATGGGTTCTTTTTAAGAAAGAAAGAAAGAAAGAAATCCCCTAGGATCATTTTAAAGCTTTTTTTTCAATTAAAGAAACTGATTTAAATCAAAATAATTAGCATTTTTTATTTCTTTATTCTTATACATAGTTATTAATGTAAAATATGCCTAATCCCATAGCAGGACTTCTTTGTTTTATACTCCTCTGCATTTACCACCAGAGAGCAACCTTGTATACTTTTTAGATGGCAGCAGCGCTGAGTTAAAGAAACAATACAGATGAGATTTCCCTGATCCCTATGACTGAATCAACAACCATTGTAACTTATTTATTGGTCACATTAGCAGACAAAGCATCATTATGACTTTATCTTTTTCTCTCCAAAGTGCTTGTCAAGTGCTTAGGAATATGAAGAAGCCTCAAATCAAATTTTTTACGAGGGCGCTATGAAAATGTGTTCTTCGTAAAAGAACAGTTTCCAGGCTCGTTTTAGCACTATGTTAGAACAGGAGGGTACTGCAACAAAATGTTGTGGTGTGGAGTGCTTTTGTTCAGTTAGTTTGTCATACTCTGTACTTCTTGATACTCCGTTCCATTCCCTCTCC